GTGGTCTTAGTAGCATCCTTTGGGCTTTGCCACTGGTAGATTTAGGCGTTATGCTGAGATTGTTTATATTCTTTCTCGGGAAAGTATCACTTTCATATACTCATATACATGTACTCATATATAAATGGTTTGTCATTAAAATAATACTTCATTTATAAATAGTGAACCAATCATGTATAAAGTATGAAAATACAACTATTAAGCACATTATAGGTGAGCTTATTAATAAAGAATACAACATGTATAACTATGTTTATAAAGACTTACTAATCTGTATTAACGTAAGAACAACGGTTTATAGACAATGAATTAAAAATGTACTAATACTTAACAACTGCTGCAGAGTGTGTAGATAATAAAAATAAAACATTTATAACTGTGAATGAATGACTTACAAGTGTGTATTAATGTATGAACAATGCTTTATAAATGATGAATTCCATATTTACTAATACTTAACTAATGCTTTATAGTGTGTAGTTATTATAAAGTCCTACCGATATGGAATTTAGAAAAGTAGTAATTTTAATATTGATGTTCCCCTCATCTTGGCAAAGTTGTTTTTGTGCCTAAACCTAACCACACCTTAACCAGGAGGCTGTGGCTCAGGAGGCAGAGCGCATCGGCCACTAATCGGATGATTGGCGGCTCCTCCAGTCTGCATGTCAAAGTGTCTTTGGGAAAGATACTGAACCTCAAAATGCCCCTGGTGTATGAACTTTAAATTCTCTTTTTAATGAGCGGTTGGCACCTCTGCCATCAGTGTATGAATGAGGGAATGTGACGTAGTGTAAAAGCACATTGAGCGGTCAGAAGACTTGAAAGGCGTGTTATACCATAGAGTTGTCAGATTAGAGGATTAAATGAAGGTAAATGAATAATGAAATTTTGTCATTTCACTCGTTGGTTTTATTTGTGCGAGAATTTGAAAGAGCGATATCTTGCTTTAATACAAAAAACATGATGCCAAGAAAGGTGCAGGAAACAGTATTTTACTGTTATTCACACCAAAAAAGACAAACCCTTATATTTCTCTAAACATGTTTTATGCAAATCAAACCCTCCTTGAAGCGATATTAGGTTTTTTTTCTCATTCTAATTTCCATTTTTAATTGACATTGTTATATGTTATGACTAAATTTCAAGTGAGTTACAGCTGAGCACAGTCTGCCAGCCGGCATAGGCAGTATTCAAAATTCATCTTCAAACAGCTCGATCACCTCAGTCTATGGAGTCCCCGGTGATGAGGGACCTGGCCTTCTGGCTGTGTTATTCTATTATAGAGCAGCTCATGAAAAAAACAGCTTCCTCTCTGCTCATCCCCAAAATAAGATTTCGATTGATTAAATGCCACTGTTGGAAGGGAGCATCATCAGATTTGACCAAAGTCTCTCAGCGTGTTGCCACGGCTCCAAATGGGTGGAGTTCGGAGGAAGTCTGGGAGTGGGAAGATGAATGTATAGAGAGGGAGAGAAGGAAGGGGAGGAGGAGGATGAATGTATAGCGGAGTGGAGAAAGATGGAAAGGAGGGGAATTTAGAGGGGAGAGAGAGAAGCAGCCGCGTGATGGATGGTGGGAGGGGTTTGGTGGCGGCAGAGGGGTGTAGGAAGAAAAAGCGAGACTGAGAGATTTCTGCCCGATCTGCAGCATAATCATCCAGTGTGTCTCCGTCTGGCTTGGCAAAGACATCATTAAGGAAACCCGAGGTCGTCTGGGTTCACGGAGCCTGCTGAGGCTCCCTTCCCTCCTGCCACTCAATTTGTATAATTTACCTCCGTTCCGAGTCTCTTTTGAAAAGAGCCTGTTTGACCCCTAATGTGGAGGAGTCAAAAAGTTGCGTCTAAATGAAATGGATGGCTGAGAGACTCCCTGCGAGTGTGTGGCCAGTCAATAGCCTGGCAGGGAGATGCTGATGATGATTCTAGGAGATGGCTGCGCTTCGGAGGAGTTGTTTAGGTATGCAGGGCAGAGCACGAGAGAGAGAGAGAGAGAGAGACAGAGAGATGGTGATGGTGATGGGAGGAAAATGAAAAGTTGAAGTGTGCCCTTCCCTGAGGTGATTTGTACAAGTGACCCCAGATTGAAGGGATGCTCAGTGGCATTCGTACTCCTCCGACTCCCCTGCAAACGGGCGTACGTTCCGTTTATGTTTCATACTCCGTCATGATGAGGCTGCACTCCGAGGGATGGAGGAACAGAGGGGGTGAGAGTGTATGGTGCAGTGAAGGAGTGATTACCCAGCGTGGAGCTGAGGAATGAGAGCCGAACGGGTATTTTATTTTGTCAATTGGAGTGTGCAAATGGAAATGTCAGAGCAGCCGGAAAACTAATGAATCTGATAGGAGAGATGCCACCTCTCTTGCCGAATGCCTGATCAATTGCCATTGTCTTTTCTCGGCGCTGATGTTTTTTCGTTGTTATTTTTTTGATTGTTTTCTCCTCCTGGCCTGGCTGTTTTGCGGTTAAGAGTTTGATGGTGAACTTTGAGTTAAGGAAATAAAGGAATCGATCTCAGACAGGAATCAATGCTTTCATCTGTTACTTACACGTCTGGGCCTGTGGAAAATGTGATCTTTGATGAGAGTTCTCTAACTCGGTTAGCAAAGTAAACATAAACAAAAGAGGCGGGTGCCAGCCCCTGAACAATTTAGTTGCCTCTGCCTGGGTCACAGTTTAAAAAAAAAAAAATTGTCAATTTAGTCTCATTTCTTTCCACGTTTCCTTTTAGTGACAGATACACGCTGATACTGAAATTCCCTTATGGCAATAACAGAAAACAAGTTGTCTCACTTCAATTAAGCAAGTAACTTCCATAACCTTGGAGCATTTTTGTGCATCCGTGAAACAAAGTGACAGATGTGCTTAGTTTAAATTTAGACTGACAATGATCCAGTGTGTCGGGGCTTTGTGCTTGTTCAGTCACAATTTCTGGTTACTTGATGATTGTTGCAAAGACTGCGAGGGCTGCGCGGGATGAAAAGAAAACCCTGCATTTGCACTATTCTATTTTGACAAGCAGGCTAATTTCTGCCCAGGGTCATCAATATTTCTGACACTTCCGTGGTGGCATAAATATAGAATGAATGTCCCTTTGTTGTGCTTGGGGAGCTACGTGTCTCCGAGCATCAACAAAAATCACTTGGATCTGTTTGTTAGCTTGTTCAGTCAGTTGACGAAACTGTCGTTGGTCCCGCAGGAGTCTGTCTACTTTCAATATCATGCATCATAAACAATATCCAATTTGGACTACTGAGCTATGAAAATACACTGGGAGGGAGATGACAAAAAATCGACCAGCTATGTGAGTGATGAGTAAATGCACTGGTTTGCTGTAAAACAATTCCAATTTATGTTGGGCAAAGCAACATGATGGTTTAATTTAAAGAAAAGAAAAGTCTATCAGTACAATCAGTGTCATTGAGTCTTACCGTAAAAAAAAGAAGCTATCTGTATCACACACTAATGTGGCTTTGGTTGAGTTAAATCAGAGTATCCCTATCTGTCTCCTGACCGCCGTGGGCTTAAGACCTCTTTGTTCAAAGAGCGGCCCCATTCCTTTGATTGAATCCCGCTCATTACCGCAGTTGCCTTTCTGATTCTGATCAGGCTCAAACAACGCCTCTCACATTTTCTCACCTTGCTAATCCTTCACCAGAGTCGCGAAAGATGGCACTTGCTCAGTCTTTACGGCCTCCGTTTGAGGGTACCGGCGGTGGACCTGGCAGACCAGCTTCTCCTGGCTCCAAAGCGAAAGCCCATACAGACAAAAACAGGCATGTCTTAGAATCGAGATCCAGAGAAGAGCCTTTCCCTCTAATGACCTGCAGGACTAAGAGAGAGGAGCCAGGCCCTCGTTATCACCCATGTTCTTTTGGACACACTTCAGAGGATGGAGGAAAGCTTTCTCTTTTGACAGAACTGAGACAGGGCTTACAAATGGCATAAATCTCTACAGCTAGTTGCACAGAGAGTACATAAATAGAAGGATTTTAGTCATATTTATTTATTTTTTAACCTTTTTTGCGACACGTTTTTCTGATCTTAACATATTCAGCAGTAGGCCTTTAGCTTCACAAAAACTATCTAGTAGCCTTTCATTTCCCCAGTGAGAGATAAATGTTTTAACATGTCCTCAAGAGAGAATAATTTGTTATTGGGACAATAATGAATGTGATGGTATTCCACAGTCTGGTGCTAATTCCACCGTTAACATAATACAATTTAATAGGTCGCTCAGTTTCTTTTATTTCATAGATGAACAGCTTTCAGTCAGTAGAAACATCATTCTGGATGCGTACATTATGGAGGAGAGCAGATTGCCAGACTGTTAACTACCCCGCTCCCTTCATTTCAATTGCAAATAATCTAGATAGATAATTTATGTAAAACACAATTATCATCAATATGAAACGGTCATTCAGTTTCGCTGTGATCTAATCTAAACTGGTGGATTTGTCTTATCTGGAGATGAGAGGAAGCGGAAGATGCTGGAGAGAAGAGACAAGTGCAAATATAGAGAGAATAGAAAATCTATCAAAAACATAATAAAGATCAAGCACAGAGCTTTGGTTATTGTTTTTCTAGTTTCCAGGGAAGCGTGTAATGAACTGTAGGAATATGGTTGTTTTGTATAACCTTACCGGGAGTCACACACTGCTCCGCAGTGGATGGAACCACACAGAGCTGCCATCCACAAATACTGTGAGGGGTGGGGCGGGATGATTGATGGTAGACTGCCGCCATTTGTGAGTTCATTTTGGGAGCATGTTTAAAATGTCAGCAGGGAGACGCACACAAAGACATCCTTTCCTTACTTTAGCTTGATTAGCGCAAAGGCCTGAGCAAGGGACAAAACTGATGAGTGTGGTGTGTATAAATGTGCTCACAGTGCAGCCAGTGTGCACAGGTATTGAGAGCAGTACAGCACTTTATGTTGTGCTGATTCCTCCGCTGAATGGCCCTCATGAGCCTTGACCCCCATCATCCATCCCTCTCTCTCTACCCAACGCTGCCATCATTACATCAAAGACCCTCCGTTATGATGAAAGAGACATACGGGGCCATTTTATTTAGGCCATAGTCCCCATTGCTGCCGCATTCCTGTAGAACACAAATTCTCTGGAGCAGAATGAAAACATTTAGCATTTTCTGATATTAAGAAGAGAGAAAGAATACTAATTTTTTTTGGGGGGGGGCAGGAAAAAAATCCTGTTCTACTAATTCAATTAATTTTGATTGAGTATAAGTTCAAGCTAAACATGACAAAGCATGCAATGAAATAAAACAAGGGCCAATCCAAATTTATTTAGGAATACAATACGCAAAGCATAGAGCAAGCAGATAAATTCAACTAAACGTCTTATCAGACAAATGAAACCAGAAAGCACGACATTTAATTATGACATTATCATGGAAATTTGTCATTTAAATATTAAAATGTATTAATGTACTTACATTAAAACTGTTAATCCAGTTTAATCTCTGGTTTTAGAGAGCCTTAAATCTGCTTTATTTTGTCAGGTTTCAGTTAATAGGTGGAATATGTTTAAGGTGGTTCCTCCTCAGTTTTCAGTTAACCATTGTACAGCCACACTGAAAACACGCTGCTTGCATCCGTAGAACCCTGCAATCATACAGTACATGATGAGCAAATCATATGAGTGGTGTTCATCTTTTTTCTCCAGGATTACCAGGATTTTATATGCATGTTTTCATTTTCAACTTAATTTCTCTCCCAATTTTTCTATTCATTGTTGGCACGTCACTTACTAGTCAACAGAAACACAAACTCCTTAAGATGTGTAATCTAAAACCAAAATGGCACTTTACTGCGTCTGAACAAGATTGATTATTTTTCCCTGTCATGATCTTGTGTACTGTCCTTCTAGTATTTTGTTGTTGCTGCTTACAGCAAGGAGTAAAGTTTTGGTAAGAAACAAATATGAACGTAATTTTTTCATACATAACTAGAGACCGTCTTGCCATGAGATCACACCAGCCAATGGAACACATGATAACAGGTGAATTGTGCCAGATTTATTCAATGTGCTTAACCGTCCTCACAGGGTCAACTTTTAAGCTATGTTAGTTTTGACATACTGTACATATATATGTGTTTTGCCAAAGCATTCCCAGGTTTTATACAGGGAATGTACAAAATTAAACATGGTTAGTTGTGAATGTGTCATTAATGGCATTTTGCTTAGACCACAGTCATCTTTGGACCCAGATTAATTTTGATCTCAATTACACACCTGTAAAGTTTCATGACTGCATCTTGCATGGTTGTGACAAAATCTGTCCGTAGACAGAAAGACAGACGGACAGACATCTCCAGGAACACAATTTTCCATGATGAATGACGTACACACACACACACACACACACACACACACACACACACTCACACAGAGAACCTCACAAGGTGAAAACAATACCAGCTATGCTGTTAACGGCTGGTAAGAATAGATTTTTACTGAACACTTGCACACAAAACACACACAACTTGAACTTATTGAGTTTAACATTTTATAATTCCCCATCATTTTCATCTCCTCCTCTCAAACGCTCCCCTGGTTATGTGAAAAATTGTGATAGTGCAGATGCTTTATCAATTTGGCCAGTGCAAAATTACCGGTGAGTAAATTAACATGTACGCATGCTTTTGCAAACTAGTTAAATATGCACTTGTTATTTTAATCAAAAAGTCCTGAAGACAGGTCTACTTTACCTCAAAGCTCAATAACCAGCATGAACAGCTATTACCTAAACGCCTTCAAGCCTTCCATCTGCCTAATAGAGAGCAAAGTCGGCAGCAGGTCTTTTTACAGATGTGTCCAAGTGAAGCATTGCATAAACAAGCCTGCAGTAAAAGGTGGTACTTATGCAGGGACGATAACTGTAGGAGCCTCTTCCACCACTTGACAACAAGACTTAAATGTTCAGTGATGATTGATGTGGGCTGCCATTAATATAGATGGTATCAGAAGCACTAATGATTCTAATGGGAGCGATGGTGCGTCAGTGCCATGAGGTTGACAAAGCTTTATAAAACCTACTTAGAAAAGGATGTTCCTCCATGTCCTACCATGTCTGCTTGTTAGCAGTGTTTCTTTCCCGTCCAATCCCAATCCATCATTAATGTGAGCACATGCATGTGAATAACTCATTAGCCCCGCATCGATCGGACCCAGGCACGGGCTGCTTGCCCACTTCATGGAGGAAACGGCAGTGAAACAAAGGGAGGCGGTAATCCATCAGTAGCCCAGGAAACCAATCCTCTCTTTGAGAATGGGTCTTCCAATTAGCGGAAAAGCCCTCTGTGGTGGGCAATCCAATCAATCCGGGTTGATTAATATAATAATATTTATTAATGTTGGGTGTTACAATGAGAAACCTCAAATTTGCATGACCGTCTTTATCAATGGGGTTCCTCTTTTATATGTGGAATTTCAGTGATGTCATGCAAGTTGTGAATCAGAAAAATATGTAAATGTGAAAGCAACTCACACCACCAACACTTATTGGGAACACATCGGCTTGGTTCAAAATGGAAGTGACTAATAGCAGCTGTGTTTTGGTATGCCAATGACTCTGCATGCATGTGGATGTGAGTGCTTATGATTATGACGGTAGAGACCTGGGGGGGGGTGAGGCAGGGAGCATGTCATTTTTTTAGCTGCACGTTGGAGACGCCCTGGGAGTGATGGTTATGGAAATGGAGACAGGAAGTGTGCACACAAATGGCTTTTGACTGGTTGCTCTCTGACGAGCCGTGCCAAATCTGCTGTGACATTCTGTCTCCACTTTTCAGGAAATACACAGCAATGCATGTTCAGAATGGCGATGTGCAGGGCAAATTCTGGCTCACTAATGATACACAGTGTGTATGAACAATTCACCTGTCGTCGGGAATAACATCAGTTCCAGCGTAAACACATCAGAAGGTGATGAGACACAAAACAACCTACAATGCTGAAGAAAATGTGTTTAATTAATAAATGTAATAATGTGTAATATTTTTGAAGTGCTTCATATGACTCCCAAGAGGCATATCCACTTTTATTCTGTCATGAAAGCAATCAGTGCTTTGTTATTGCAATCCATAGGTCATCCGGTTGACTTTCCAATAGCCGGCCGGCTCTACAAGGGCCTCTTAAAACCAAGCAATGGCATTAAATATAGTGTTAGCAGCAGGGCTGTAAATGCATGTTGACAATTCACTTTTCATTGAAACGTGGCTGCCTGTAGCTACACTGGCTGACCTATGTAGAAGTTTGTAACTTTAATAAGCTGATAATTCAAACATATAAAAGTGCCTGTAGCAGCTTGAACATTGTTTGCTTTTGCAGCCCTTGCAGTGCTATAAGGCTTTTTGCAAAAATCTTATGTCAGATAGGAGTTAAATATTCAACTGCAGCTTTAAGAAAGAGAAACATTTTTTTATAAAATCACACTGTAGTGTGAGTAAACATTATTAAATACAAAGTGTTTAAATAGTACCTTCCTACGTGCTCTAGAAAATTAGTGTAGAGCATTCCCATAGTCACACTGTTACAATAGCAGGTCTAAATAAGCTGAGTAACACTATGAAATTTAAACAGGCTCACAAATTTACATTTCCTGTAGTACTTTTCACATTTGTTTTCATCAGATAATAAAGGAAAATGATCTGCCAGCCGCTGACTTAATGATTACCTTGTGTTTTTAATTTAATAAGTAAATACACTCTTGAACTTGCACTTTTCACTGGTGGACGGCACCATCAAATCTCAGGCTGCCTGACAACGATCCTCACAAAATTAAAATGAATATGTAACCACTAGGAACACCCATCCATAAGCCTTCACAGAGCACGGTTTAATATCTGCCTCAGAGCAGATGGCTTTTTTTTTTTAAATAGAACAAGGTGGTTTTAATATTTGAAATATTTGAAGATTCAGCGAGAAACATAATTTTTCCTTCCTCGCTTTGGATTAAATGGTGACAGCTCACTGGTTCTTTTCATGTGGGATTGAAGTAAAATCAAGAGGGTTTTTTTTCTAATATAGGTTGCTTTGAATGTATAAATTCAGACAAAAAATAATGCAATCACCCACACCCAAATGGAGTGAGTGTCAGCGGCGATTGGTGAGAGAGACAGCGAGGGAAAAGGAAGAGATAAATGCATGAGATTGGGACAGACAGCAGGAGAGATGAGTTTCTGGGTAACATTCAGCGTATTCACTGAAGGATGTAATCATGAGTAGTGGAAAAAAAAAAAAGAGGAACAATATGGCTAATATCCATGAGCTGCTTTAATCTCAAAGAGCATGTTTGGTCGGTGAATTCTTTTAGTAGCTTATTTGGCTGTCATGTTTCTCCAAACACACAGACTCAGAAAAACTGAAGCTGCAACACCACTGGAAATGACAGGCTGGTTAATTTAGTGCTCCAGTGTGTGTGCTTGACTATGTTTTTGTCTTCTTCAAGTGAGTCTCTGAGCCAATGAGTGACCTTGAATTTCTGTATGGTTTCCTGTACAAACATATGGGTATGTGGGTTTTCAGCTCTGCAAGGCTTGTTTGTGCATCTGTATTTGTGACTGTATTTGCGAGGAGACAGGCTCAGTCTGACCTGAGCATTACCTTAGGAGCACGCCACGTCATATTTTAACTCCCTTTGTCTTTGACAGATAGTGTGGCTCTAAAAGCCTCTGTCCATGGTGCTGAAGGCTGGCCTGATGTATGAGTGTTAGGCCCTGTTTGATAAATCCACCATGTCACTCTGCCTCTGACAGCCATTCATCATGCTTGGCTTTCTCATGTGAAATGTTGTGTGTGCTGGATATTTCAGTAAGAGAAATAAAATGTGAGTCCTAAAGCTTAGACTCGGCCCCGTCCCACCCTGCATCGACTTTTCAGTACTGTACTTTATCTCTCTGTTGTAGGGACGCTGTGTCCCTGTCTAAGCACGAGCAGCAGCAGCAGCTGTAGCACGGTGACTATATTCAGACCAGCTGAAGGACGAACATGTTCTTAATGAGGCGGCTAATGAGTTCTGTTCTTTTGTTGCTGTTTTTTCCCTTCTTCCCGGGGTCAGGACGACCATTCAACCATTCAGCTGAAGTCACTTGACTTTCCCCCTGTGGTCTGACTCAAAAGTCAGACCACAGGGGGCAACTCAACAGTTTTTTTGTTCTGTACTACTTGATCATTATCAATATTTTGTTTTACATGCTTGCAGTTGAAATGTCACAGATGAAAGTCATTACACATTAGCCAATGGTTGGATGGCAACAAAAAGGAAAGTATTTTAATTATAATACTAATCGTTTTGTTTGGAAATAAACCAGATGCATTATGACAAATATGAGATGAAAGCAAACGAGAAAAGTTGGCAATTATTTGTAAAAGAAACAATGACATTTATTTTTTTCTTAGCACTTTTCTTAATAAGTCTGTTGTGCCCATTGATCACATATAGTACAGTTAATATAAAAATGGCTTTTTAACTTTACACCCAAAGCAACAACGAAATGTTTTCTTAAAATATGTATGCTAAAAATACTGAGAAAGTATTTCCACTAAAAGTACTGGAGAATAGCTTGTGATTCTGTAACGGTGACATGGCCGTGTTTTGCTGTGGCTGCCGCGTATCTTCAGATCCTTCTCTGTTTACCTCATGTAGTTCTTGTTGTAGGCACTTACCAGGGCTTAACAGGCCGCTTCGTGAGGAGATAACGCATCAGTCACCTCACTTTTAATCAACCTGTTTGTATTTGTTTTAGTCTAATGCATTTTTTCCTAGTCACCGAGAACTACACAGCATAAACAGCCATTTTGCAAATGTCCTCTCTAGATACTCATTTTGTAACTGAATTTCATTAAGCTTAATGCGACGTTGTAATCAAAAGTAGTCTGCTCTTTGCCTTCATTTAAAACCCATTTAAACCGTTTAGATACAGAGGTTTTGTCATTACATCAACATAATAGAATATATAACAATATTTCCATGAAAAATCAAGAATCCATTTTATATAGAAAAAGGAGGGGTATATTTCATCAAAAGGCTTACACCATAGTCACTTTTATTTGTCTACTCTACTAAATCTCCCTTCCCATAATAGACAGGTGTTATTACTGTATCTCTAACTCGTCTATGGATGTTTTACAAAGCACAGACGGTATTGCTTGGGACCACACGGACAGTTCCACAACTCTGAACACATTTAACAGTCAATTACAAGAGAGTTGACCTTCATCGTCATCATCATCACTCTTCTTTCCTCTGCCTGCATTTCTCTATGAATGGTACTGAAATTTATCTTTTTGCAGTAAATGCCCCTTCCTGTTGATGTTAGCTTGGTTTGATGTAACGGTTACAAAGCCACCACTTCATCTAGGGTTGAAACTGGGAGAGCATGTAGTCTATTTTAAACTGTTCCATCCCAGTCCAATAATAGTTTTGCCAGTGTGTCTGAGCTGGGGGACCGGCAATGGGTATGCCTTTGAAACAGTACTATAGATTTGTCCACCCCCGCCCATGGCCTTGTCCATTCAGTGTAGTTGGTGTGTGGTGCTCTAGAACGCTGCACTTCTTAAAAGGCATTGTCAGAAACATTTATGACTGTGGCTTTCACTTCCACTCCACTTGGCAGTCCCTTACCCGAAACCCACAGCTTTGGAAAGAAAGGAGAGTGCATACCGGTAGCTTCCACTGGTGTCAGCGAAGCTTTGGAGTCGCATTTCCTTATATCCCCATAAAGGTGGTGGTTCCTCAGAGACACATAAATAAGCAGGCATGCCACTGAAATCACAGCCAAGAGCACACCAAAGACGGTGATTACTGCTGTGTCCCATTTTTCTGTGTCCTTGGCTGCCAGCTCTAATCCCTTAGTGGTGACATTGACACATTTGTTGTCATGGTTGTAGTGGATGCTGCGGACATCCACACATACTTTGTAGTGAGTGGCAGGGCTGAGATGGGTGAGGTTGTAGACCTGGACATCAGAGGGAACTCTGGTGGAAAACGCTGTGGTGGGATGGTTAGCGTCTGACACTGTGTACCATTTAATGTTGGGAGCTAGGGTGCCAGAGCCAGCCTTCCACGAAACCAGGATCGAGTTTGTTTCCACTGATGTGATTGTGACATTCAGAGACCCATTTGCAGGTTGGGGAAAATATCCATTCACCTCTACTGAAACAGATTTAAGATCAGCTCCAACCAGATTATGGGCAACACAAGTGTAAAGACCAGCTTCATTTTCTGTGACATCATAGATGTCAAACGTTCCCTCTGGGTGCATGTAGAACTTATCAGACACTGTGTTAGGCAGGACCCTAGTACCAGACGGGGTGATCCAGTAGATGTCCGGCTCTGGTTCAGCAAAGGCTCGACAATGGAGTGACACTGAGCTCCCATTCTGTGCTTTAATATGCGCAGGCATGCTTTCGGGAGAGATGAGTGGCAGACAAATCTCCATCATCTCCCTGAAGTGCACCTGTCGAACATGCTGGCCCTCGTACTCCGGGGGCTCCACACAGTACAGTGAATCAGGCTCCATGAAGCGAATGTTGGTCTTGTTCATGTTCATCCAGCGGACTACGCAGTCACAGCGGATGGGGTTGCTGTGCATGCTAACCTCTCTGAGATTTGGGAGGGACTCGACAGTAATCCTGTGGAGGGCACTGAGCGCATTTCCATTTAGCATTAGGGTTTCCAGCCGCGGTAGTTTGTAGAAAGCATTAGGATGGATATAGGAGAGTTTAGGATTGTTGGTGGCTTCTATTTTGGTCAGCTCAGGGAGGTTATTCAGGGCAAAGCTGTCAATGGAAACTAGCTCTGGCATGCTATTAATCCCTAGTTCTTTCAGATGGAGCATATCCACAAAGTCCCCTCTCTGTATTCTCGCAATTGGGTTCTTATTTAAATCCAAAAACTTAAGATTTTTTGCATTTCTCAGGGCGGAGTGAGGCACCTCAGGGAAAATATTATCATAGAAAGAGATGCTCTCTAAGTTATCGAGACCAGCCAGTGCATCGTCAGGAAGCTGAGACAAGTTCATTCTGGTGAGGACAAGACTGCGGAGGTTACTGAGAGGTTTGAAGTTCATATCATCAACAGAAAGAACAGGATTCTCACCAATCATCAGGATCTCCAGATTTGGCATGGGTTCGAACCACTCTCTTTTAATAGCCTTCAGCTTGTTAGAATTAAGGTGGAGCCGCACAAGGTTGCTGAGACCCTGGAAAGCCTTTGGGGAAATGGAGGAGATGAGGTTGTGATTCATGTAGAGCTCCTGAAGGTTGGCCATATCAGCAAGACATTGTTCAGGCAACTCTTGTATCCAATTTTCCTCCATGTGAAGGGACAGCAGCTGAGGAAGATTCCCTAGATGGACGTCGCTGATAGAGGATAAGTTATTTTGCGATAAATCAATCTCTGTGATGTTGGCCAGGTAATCCAAGGGTTGGTCAATCTTGGCAACATTGTTTGTTTGCAGTAACAGTACTTGTGTGCCCGCCGGGAATTTGTCCGGCAGGCTAAAGAGTCCCAAGTCATTACAGTCAACTGTCTGCGCCTCCATGTACACCGAACTGGGAGAAAACCAGGGTCTAATCTCACATACACAGAGCTTCGGGCAATCAGGCCTCTCCTCTGTGGCCACAACAAAAGAGGCCATGGCCAAGCCAACAAAAAGATCCACGAATGACACGTCCTTCATATTGGACCGGTTCCCTCCAGTAAGAAATTGGTCCTTGTAGATTAAGTGGTCTGAGCTGTTAACTTCACAAATAATGAATCATTTGCTGCAGCTGCTGAGGCGATTGACTCACCGCCCCTGCCACCGACACCACCACCAACAACAACTGCAGCAGGGCTCCCTAGGGTTTTTTTTGTCTTACTGTGTAGACGCCCTTGGAAATAATGACCAGTCACTCAATGTTGCCTTCTGGAGTCAGGGTTCGGGGCCGAGGCTGCAGTCAGGCAGACCCGAGAAGGTGGAAGGGGGGAAAAAGAAAAAAAGGATGGACTGATATATTATATTATATTTCAAAGGACTTATGTTAAGCACATTTAGATATCCGTGAAAACTCTGCTCTGTCTTTAAAGGTGGATGTCCTCATTGGTTGTTGTGACTAGCTCCCAGAGTCCACAGCCCAGTCCATTCCTACCTGTGTATGACAAACAAGACAGAGAGAAGCAGTGTGAGTATTACATGACAATGGAGGTGGTCAGGGAATGTCATAAGAGAAGGGTGTTAACATACTGATATTTGTTATAGGTGTGCTGATGCATGTTGACATTTATACACACTCCTTTCAAGACAGAGAACCATGGATTTACATCTTTTGACCTTCTAGACTTCATACTGGGGATTTCCAGATGTGCCCCCACAATATGGCTTTCAATCCCAATGTTAGCAGAGTTAATGGTCAAAGAGAAGGCTTTATTAAGCTTCTTAAATGGCAGACATTGTAGGGCTTAAGCATTGGCCTTTAGGGCAAGCTGCTTTAGGGCAAGACACTGGAATATGTCGGACAGTATAGCAAAGGGCAATAAATGGGCAGCCAATAACACACACTATAGTGAGAGAGTCAAGCCAAACATGCAAACTAAGCATTTGACAAAGGTGCAGTTTGTTATAAGATGCAGCAACCGACAGCCACGGAAACAAAAATGCATTAATGTGTTGACATATATAATCTTTGTGCAATCAACAAAATCTGCACGCTAATAGGATTTAACATTTTTGGAAATTACAGGTAATGCAGTTCATCAGTGGCCACACATTGCAGCTATGTTAATGTGTATACAAACGCGCAGGCCTGAAGGGAAAAAATACATAATTGTGACTCTTGGGCACACATGTTGACAAATAACAATAAGCAAAGATCAAAAAGAGATTATTTTGGAGAAAAAAAGGGACAGTGAAATGTCTCACTTTGATTGTTCATTAAATGTATGTACATGCCATTGACCTAAACTGTCCATTGTGTGAATTTTGGAGGGCACTATATTGGTGTATGTATTTCCAACCTTGAATTTGGACACTCAAATAAAATTGTAAATATTGTGCAATACATAGTAAATAGGGAGTCATTTTATACACAACCCTGAGCAAAACTGTTTATAATGGATGCAAGTAATGTTTGTTAATGTATAAGTAATTTTTTTAGAAGGTTAAAAATGTCTAGGTGTGTTTCACTGACAATTATGAAGAGCCGGAACATGTTTCTGAGAGTGCTCAGTGTGATTTTCTCTGAATTTTCAGCACATTTTATAATTCATAGTTATTGAACGATTATGAAACAGGACACATTTAACACAAACATTACAAGGCAAACAAATTGGGACAGTGGCCTGAATATGTCATTTGATTATCTGCCATATAGAGTAGCAGAGTATATTCGGTTCTTACAGTAACAAATATTGATTGAATTGGCCATAAATATCTTTCTACAAGCATAAAATGATTTGAGAAAAAAATTGCATGTTGTAGTAAATAGAACAATGATGCATCCTCTTCCATGCGAGTCAGAAATCTTTTTTTTTTTATGTAGTGTCTCTTTTACCATCACATAATTCATGTCCCCATCGTCTGCCGCTAAACCCAGTACAGAAACTCCACAGCTGAAGTGTACCATGTAATTTGTTGTATGTAACTGCCTCTTACTGAACAGATGGGGTTGATGGCGCTTGTGATATTTTGGGCCTATAAGATCATGCACCACATCATGGGAAACGTCAAGAGAGACAGGGGATGAAATGGAAAGAATCAAGAGAATAAGTGTGACGGCGGCTGGAAAGTGAGAACAAGGAAAGAGAGAAATGGTTTCATTTCAACACCCTCGCTGTCTCCACCTCAGTGGCCACAGGGGAGACGTGGGGGAAAAAATAAATAAATAAATAAAAAATTGTGAGGGCAGCTCAAACGCTGCAGTTTGCCCCACTGGCGAAGCCAAGCCAAGGGTTCATTCCTCAACCTCTGCTCCAGCACTGGCTCGATTCTGGTTTGGAGAGGTGAGGGAGGATGGAAGGCAGACATGGAGCTAGTGGAAGCAGAGTGAGAGAGAAAGAAGAGAGAGTGGGGGTATTATTTTTCAAAAGCACCTGGCACTTTAATAAGCCGCAACACCCAGAGCATTCTGATAAACAGGGTTTAGCTACTCTCCCTCAGCACTGGCTCTTCATTGTGGGCTACGCAGTTGATCCGTGCCCTGGAAACACAGGCCAGAGTCTGTAATTCAGCCTACAGCGTTTGGGTCTCACCTCTACTCGTTCTGGATTTTCTCTTTAGTAATCACAATTGCCAGCAGTATAATGTGGTCAGGTTAACTGTTACTGCATAGCATTATTGTGCAATCAACGCAGGTGACTCTAATGGGGTGTGCTGTTATTTGTTGTACCAATGATGTTAACTATTTTGTGATTAATTTTGGTGTTAGAGACTCATTCACTGCAGCATTCAAAAATAAAATCTACGAATGGGAGGTGTTGGTGTGGAATACGAAATTGTGCTGCCAACACCTTAAATCAGGTATGACTTCATTGGTTTTTGGTAAGGCATGATGATAGTTGTGAAACAGACAGATTGAAAAAAGATAATTCATTATTGTCAGTTTAATGTTAATGTCTGTTGTCTCACATTGGCGAAAATCTAGGGTGGGATTAGGAAAGCTTTACTGGACATTTTGCAAGATGGTGTGGCCAGCAAGCAAAACATATTTCCCTGCTAATTAATGAGGATATAATTATTGATAATCCAACACTTGGTTCATGAAAATCTTGATTTTAGGCCTGGTTGTAGCCACTAGTGTTTGTGTTATTTTCAAAATTTTCAGTTACTTGAGGCTAGCGGCTCAAGGTCACATTAGCCACTACCAGGGTAACACACCCACATTGATTTGCAATGTGGGTAATGAAGGTGACAAGGAAGAAGGATATCTCTCGTTCTGATGTATTGATTTTAATACTGAATTTTGATATTAAACTGTCCATCATGAGTCTGACAGTACTACAGGAGTAGTACTTTAAATGCCACTTGAGTGAAGTATCACACACTGAGTTAAAATGTTGGTTAGGTAAACCCACTAAATAGTTTAGTGTGTTTAGAATAATCATCTAATTAAATAATAAAATATTAAATGAATATCAAACGACTCACTTTTCATTATGCATTTTTTCATCTATTGCATCCAATAATGTGGTTATATAATGAACATCTACTCCAGCTAAAGGGCAGATTTATACTTGAACATTAAGCTCTAGCCTTGACAATGAGTTTAGTAAACTCAGCCAATAATTTAATTTAATAATTTGAAATGGAGATTTACTCTCAAAATATAATTATTAAAGGTGCTTTTTAAGTAATGCCACTTATAACTGTACATATTTGACTCTGAGAGCAAGACCAGATTAAATATTGCATGCTTTTCATTATCACAGAAATACAGTTTTATATGTTGTAGACAAATCTATGCAAATCAGGATTCATGTACAGTCTCCTGGACGTCAGCTGAGGTCCCAGTGAAAGGCCGTTGAAGGGAAACATTGGGAGTCATTTGTAAGAAGCTGACTGAATTGGCACCAACGTCTTGAGTGGGAATGTGTCTGATGTGGCAAATGTTCTGAGTCTTCAGGCATTCTTGCCGCCTGAGCAGAATAGTGCTGAGTCAATGACTGGGTTACGCAATAAAACAGTTTGGAATAAGACAATTGAGGCAAGACGGCTATGTAATACAACTAGGACAATGTTTACACAATGTACACTTTCAGATTAGATGAATGTAAAGGACAATGGAACATCCTGAGAGCTCAATATAACTAATCAACATGTGTTCACATCAGCAAAACTGAAAAGCTTTCAACAACACATCCTCCATTAAGAATGGCTGTTTGGCTGGAGAAATTGGCCTTGTTAAGGTAACATGCTGAATTTTATAGGGTTGAAAACTGTACCAAACTACATCATCTTAAGTGAACTATCCTAATCATCCACGGGCAGTTGAATAGGTAAATTGGTTGCACGACTGCATTATGTGAAGCCCAGTGAAGAGGCAGTCTATTTTCTTGGGGCTTTGCACCGTGACTGCTGCGACTATGGAGTCCACACACCACTTGTACTAACCCATTAGTAAGCCGTGCAGTCAAGCTACGCAGCCCCCCCCCCCCACACACACACATACACACATACACACACACTGCTTGTAGAGCTAATTTCCCACAATCCTCTCCTCTAGTTGGCGGTAATTGAGGTGGAGCGAGATGGGAGGGAAAAGGGAGAGAAGAGATCTGGAGGACAAAATGACTTGCCAGAGGAGGAACTTGTCTAAGTCTCAGTAGTGGTGTATTAACCTCCGGTGAACCTGGGAATGCTGTCAATGCAGGGAATATTAACCTTAGCAGGGCCAGAGAGGGATTACCCAAAACCCAGTTGGGAGAAAACAAGGACTTCCAAGAAACAAAATAAATGTTGTGGGTTGTTTGGCAATAACTTGCGTTTGGCTGCGCAACCATTGGACAAAGAGAAATGAGGTTAATATGGCTGTGGCAAATAGAATTCAAAGATGGATGCTTGTAATTTGTCCTCAGAAAAGCCTTTTGGAAATCTTGACTAGAGAGATACATAATCAACAGCTTGTAATTTAAACTAGAGGGCTTGAAATGGGATCTCTTGGAACGTAATATCTAACTGCACTAACACATTAAGCCTAAGCTTTGACATTTGCTCAGGGAGCCAATGGAAGCCTTTTATAGGTTCAGCTCAGGTGTTCACTCATGGATCTAACACAACTTCCAGGAGTCAGAGGAGGGGAGGGGGCAATCATTCAACCCATGATCACCAAAGCACCTCCATTACAGTAGGAGGCTAAAAGTCTAGCCCAAGGGCTTTTCACTTTCGCCAGTGTTAATCCTGACTGTGCATTACAGCAAACAAGCTCCTGGAATATGGTCTGTTTCATGACTGCCTTAAATGTGTGAAACACTGCCAGTTTTGTCTACCTCCGTTGGTTACTTGTGGGCAGCGGAAACAATCCGTGAACACAACACCGAAGACAAACTGAACCGAAATATTATTACATTTTACAGTTGTTTTGAAGAACTTGCTTGCATACAGTTGCCTATTTACACATCCAGCAGATTTTGAGTCATGTTTCTGGCCAGCAAGTCCAACATTCACTCTCTTTTAGCTCTGGTTGGGTCTCCACCAACTCCTGAGGTAAACATGTGGCTCTTCAGCTGCCAAGTGCTTCACTATGTTCACCAGCTAGTCACTAACTTTGTCTTGACTAACTTTTGCTATTTAGTGTTGGGCAGGTGGCGCACAGCTGCGACTTAGAACAACTCGGTGAGGTGAAAGACACTTTAGTGTCCCATAGAGCTGAGGAGGGTGGGGTTTGAGGCAAAATCTGTAACCATGATTAACTTTTATGGAAGTGTTTTTGCATCAT